TATGTATATATAAAATAATTTCTTTATGAATCATTAGCTACCGGTTCTTGGGAGCCATGGAATTCCTGGTCGCAGTGTTATGAAACATGTGGTCCTAGTTTTCGAGTCCGTTTCCGAGCTTGTGCGCAAGAACCATGTCCGTCAGAAGACAAACGTGAAATCGAAAGCTGCCAAGAACGTGAATCTTGCGAAGGTATGCTCAGTGTTTTATTATTACTTTCGTTATCAGAGTTATTACCACTATTGTTACTGATTCAATCATTATGCCCAATGGTAGCATTTACAAGACATTTTGCATCAGGGAGATTTTAAAATGATTTTAGTGTCCAAAAAATGTTTACGGACTGTCTAATGAATGGAAAAGATATGCACCTCTACAAAATCGCTAGTTATTCTTTGTATCTAACCATAGCAATCGTAGCAACCTGAATTGTATTTGTTATTTATTGTATGACATGATAATATCAGGGATGTTGCGTTCAAGGGTCCTAACCTAAACTTGTGTACCACTCTTGCGAAATCGCAAGTGCTACATATAGGCCTTCTACTTATTATTATATTGTATAATCCAACCATTACAATCATATTGAACTGATTAATATCATTGGACTATATACGTAACAGATAAGCTACATAATTTGTATCGCGATACGAATTCGTCACGTTCTTGATTTTTTATATTTGTGCCGTATACGATTAAACCCCAAATACACTTTTTTTTCCAGAGCAGATGTGCTGTTAATATATAAAAATAACATAATGCACAATAATTAGCATCATTCTTGCGTTCAAAACGTAAGACGTACATTAGGTTTGAACAATTTTATGCAACTTTCTATCTATGAAAGTTTTGCTATTAACAATGACTCAGGATGGTTAGTTCCGTTATGTGGAACACTCCGTGTGCACCAATGTATCGATTCGCAACTTAAATCATTTGCATGCCACTTGTTTTGTGAACTTGACAGAGGTCAAATCTATATTGGCCTATTTCTTTTGTATTATTCAATGAATCTGAAATTATTGATATCAAAACTTGTTTTTGCGACAATGCCATTAGCAATTATGGCAATGGGCCAGCATATTTTACCGACCAAATGGACTAATAGGTTATTTTATTTCAATTGGATACCGTAAGTTGCAGGAAAAAGGTTACATGTAATTATTTAGAGCCCTTCCGTTCTTTTACATTGGTTGGTTATAATAGAGCGCGTGTGTTACGTCGTATTTTGTAATAATTGTATTTTGTAATACCTGTCGTATATAGTAATAAACCTGGTCGTATTTTGTAATAACAGAACTATCGCATTTTGTAATAACTCTGCGTATTTTGTAATAAAGTCTTTCGTATTTTGTAAAAACACATCAAATGCCTGTTTTCTTCTAGTTTTACAGTTTTTGAGCGAATGAAGTTTTTGATGTCTAAATAAAATATTTGTGTTAATGATTGTTTGGTGTAGCTGTCAAAAGTCGCATGAAAAGTAATATAAAAAAATCTTTTCATTTTACTGATATAATGAACAAACGTTGAATATGATATATTACTATAATGTGCAACTTTGTCAAATAATCGCTAATGACCTCTGACCTTGAAATAATTTCTGATGAACCCCAAGCAGGAGTCATATTTATTACATAATTTTTCATAAATTAAAAAATAATACAAAAATAATGGTTATATTTAAATCAAACTGAGTGACAATTGACCATAACTCCTGGCGGTTCTCAATCACAAGCCATTGTTATCATATCTAGGCCTATAATTATTTCTATATTTATATAACGTTCATAAAATAATAAAATGGGAGAAATATATCATACATTGGACCTCTTTTTATCACACAGTCACACCAAACAATCATTAACACAAATATGTTATTTAACCAATCAAAACCTTTATAACTATATGATGAAAGAGCGACCGATCCTGTAACTATCATACTCTTACTATCATGTATTTACACCAATCAATCATTAACACAAGTTTTTACATAATCCCTCAGAAACTGCAAAAAGTATAGAAGAAAATAGGCATTTGATGTGTTATTACAAAATACGACAGACTTTATTACAAAATACGACAGCTCAGTTTAAAATACGACAGAAATTTATTACAAAATACGACAGCTCTGTTAATTTCAAAATACGACAGCTATTACTAAATACGACAAGGTTTATTACAAAATACGACAATTATTACAAAATACGACAAGGTTTATTACAAAATACAATTATTACAAAATACAACGTAACACGCGTGGTTACAGGCGCTTGCCGACAATTATACACCCGACTATCATGAAATTAACATTACATTTCAGTCCTGTATGTGTGGTTGTAAAAGAAACAAAATTGTATAAATTACATTTACAAGTTCTTATTGTTAACTTTCTTTTAAGGGCCATGGACTACCGAATCTCAGCCTTTGGCCAATGATCTTCCAGCATTTAATGGAGAAAATGTGGTAGAAGCAGATTCTGATGTTGATTTGGTCTTTCTATTAGACGAATCAATAAGCGTTTCAGCGCATTACGTCACACTAGGAAAGACTTTCATTCGTCGATTTTTGGATCGAAGTATGGAAAGTTATGATGGCAATCATATACGGTTTGCATTGTGCAGTTTTTCGTCAGAGTTTAATGTTGTATTTGAATATGGAGAACTTAATCAGTCTGAGATGGATGATGCCGTGGAAGGTGTCCGGTATTATGGTAATTGTTTTTCTTCTTCTATGGAATCAGATTTAAAGATATGCAATAGATTTCATAATCCATGGAACTCTCCACAGGATTTTAGCTATAAAAAAAATATTATAAAACATTCCTCTCATTTAACGAACACATAATTAATACATACCGTTCGACCTTTAAATTGGCTGGTAGGCGTGTATACTATAACGAGTATAGGCTTACCGTTTATCAGCTATACATTATTACCTCATTTATGACATTAATTCCATAAATGCTGCACCTAACGCTTTTATGTTATAATACATTTTCCTCCTATATTTAATCTTATCTACAAGGCCTACTACTTTCTTCACTACGTTATTGATCGGTATTTATTGACCCAAAACGCCCTCTATAATTTTAAATTGGCTGGTAGGCGTATATATTATAACGGAGTATAAGCTTACCGTTTATCAGCTATACATTATTACGTCATTTATGACAGTATTCCATAAATGCTGCAGCTCATTTTATATTATAATACATTTCCTTCTACATTAATCTTATCTACAATACTACTTTCTTCACTACGTGAAGCCCTCTACAATTTGTATTCTATTCCGAAACCCACGAAATTAAGGTATCTATGTTGAAAAACCCAACTATCAATAATTGTTTTCCTTTAGTGTATTTATCAAGAAAGCAGATCCTTTATACAACTTGTGTTTGAAATTTAATTGAAAACATATTATAAGGAAATATAATAACACTGAAAACTAAACAACATCTATTAAACAGCAAAAGCATATCAAAATTTCAAACAAAATAACACCAAGTTTGAAATCTAGTAATGTGAATGTATATGCCTATATTTTAGGTTAGGCCTATTGATGGTTAGGAAGGGGAAAGTTGATAAATACTGTTTAAACGAATAAGGGAATTTATTGAGACAGAAAAGTAATATTTTTCTTTCTGTTTTTTTGTTTTTGTTTTGTTGTTGTTTTTTTTTTTTGCTTTTGTAATCCTAATAAGTCATTTCATTTAATCTGTATAAATAATTTTGCGCACTTTACTGTTTTAAGCTGTATAATAGTAATTTACTTAAACTGTCTTCATGAATCTAACTCATATTTGCATTTCAAATAGTAGGCCTATGTTAATACTCAGTGTTTTGTGCATTTATAGGCGGTTCCACTGACGCAGCACAGGCCGTAGATCAACTAAAGGCAGGCGTTCTAACGAGAGCCAGGCCAGGAGCTAGAAGCATCCTGGTTCTTCTATCTGATGGGTTTTTTGAACAAGGTAATAGTTCAGTAAAAACCTAGCTGATTATTTTTTGTTCTTTCTTTTATTTCCTTTCTCTTACTTTTTTCTATGTACCATAACATAACTTAGTAAATAAATAATTAAAGGAAAGTACATTGAAAAGGAAAAGGAGAATTTCAAAAACATAAGCCTATAAAGATTTTAAAAACCCTAGTCACATGTACAAACAAACATATAATAATGAGTGTGTAAAGACGTTAAGTAATAAGTTTAACTGATCAATATTATATTTAAAGAAGACGTTTAGAATAACATATTAATTCTCCGTTATTATTTCATTGCACCCACCATGGAGGTATTATGGCACTATAATATCTCTATGCACACCGACCGTCCCCATCCAAACCCCACCTGAGTACACACCGACTCACATACACAACCACAACGTAAGGCCTTTTCTTTGAGGGGATTAGTTGTTTTTATTCGCTCTGTTTTCTAGGAATTGTAATTAACAGCAGATGTTTTATAATATCGACAGTTCTTTGGTTGAATAATAATCATTGTTGTTATTAACGTATAAATTGAAAATTATTATAACTCGCCAGTATTTTCCCCGAAATCTGTACATTATTGTGATAAATTAAACGATTCATATATTAAAATTTAAGCCCTGTGTTTTAAATAGAAAGCTTTAACCGATTAAAAATTGAGATAATTGGACATTTGATTGCAGATACTTCCCTACCTCCTGAGGCTCAAATGAAGGTGGTTGATTATCTCTGGATCTAGATATAGCATGACATTCGGACTATAAAAAAAGATATTGTTATTGGTATTCCTTATTGCAATTCCTATTTTCTCATATTTTAATCACCAATATTTCATAATCCTAATCCTTGAAATGTATAAAAAAAGAAATAATGGTTGCTCAAAGATATATGGGCCCGATCAGATCGTTGGTTTGTTTATTCTGATGCTTATGTTCTTATATTTCTATCTGAGCACTATTATTATTTATCGAATTATTTATGTTGTGTTTGCGATGTTACGTAGCAAACCTAATTTGAATATGGTTTACTATGATTTCCTAGTTGCCACCATAGAGGAAGAACATAGAATAAGCTATTCAGCTTATCAATTGCTTTACTAGTTGTGTGAGAGTAGATACTATATAAATCAAGTTTGTGGCCCTACAAACAAATAGATAAATAACAATGCTCGAATAGGAACATGTTCTTATTAGCTAACTCAGAATTTATTAATATTATTATTTTTATTGCTAAGCCTGTTTGGCTTTAAGGTTAGGCTTATTTTTCACTATCGTACCATTATCATTACAATTACCATTGTCGTTTTCCATTACCAAAGAGTACCCTTTACCTTTACCATTACCAGTACTATTAAATGTTACCATTATTACCATTATCACCATAACCATTAATATTATTGAGCTGATTATACTATAAGAAAAAGTATGTATTGTACATTTAAACTAACACACGGCTATAGTATTGTCATATCTTATATAAATACGATTGTATTAATTGCAAGCGATCGTAACTTATGACGTATATTGGTGTTTCTTTCCTGCTTCAATCTACTGTAGATCCAGTAGCACCTTCAGGCGTGGAAATCTTCGCGGTTGCCATTGGAGACAATGTGAATGACATAATTTTGTCACGTTTTTCTGACGGACCGATGTTTTACATACAATCCAATTCAGACGTTACTGCAGCAGTTAACGATTTGCTATCGGCTATGTGATTTGATACGGTACTCTGTGCATAACAAACGGAATATCTATTTAATTTATCATTTTTTAACAATGCGAATATAATCACGATCTTTGATTTCATCAGTTATTTTGTCGGTGTATTGTTTACCATTTAAATAAAATTCTAAGGCCATTGATATATATTCAGTGTACATAACATAATATTTGACAACCTAATCCTAATTGCAGATATTCGATTATTAATAGGCCTAGACGACCTTACGATGGGAAAATCTGGTCTATAACTGGGCTTGTTATTGTTACTGTACTTTTAACTCTCCTAGACTCGGAAGTATGTTGAACATTTTAAACATCCTGATTGCTCGGTTGTGACTGCAGTGCGTGTTATGTGCACACGACTACTGACCACCAGAAAACTGTGCGAGTACTGGCCACAAAAATACTGCGTGAATACTGGCCATCAGAATACTATGCGAATACTGACCACCAGAAAACTGTGCGAGTACTGGCCACAAAAATACTGCGTGAATACTGGCCATCAGAATACTATGCGAATACTGACCACCAGAATACTGAACACAAGTAGGCCTACTGTATACTGTGCAAATACTGACCACCAGAACACTGCGCGATTCCTAACCTTAATACTGCACCAATGCTGACAAATAGAATACTGTGCGAATACTGACCACCACAACAATGCTCGAATATTGACCATCAGAATACTGCACTGTGCGAATAATGACCACAAGAATACCAGAATACTGCGAAAGTTCTTACCACCACTATGTGCTAGTGAGTGTGCCGATTTAAAGTGTTTTTGTTTTTTGTTTTTTGTTTTTTTGTTTTGTTTTGGGGTTTTTTTTGGGGGGGGGGGTTGGTTAGTTTGGTTTTGGTTATTTCTAGGAAAATGTTTCGTGGGGATTTAAAATGTTAATTTCTAAATAATATATAATAGATTATTTAAAAGCATTTCCTACATCGACTCCTCGACAATAATGGAAGGAAAAGAAACAACTTGACTCCATTGCTACTTAAAATTGTAACGCATAAAGAAAGGATAGTAGTAGTGGCAGTAGAAGCAACAGCAGTAGTTGTAGTAGTAATTAAGTATAGTAGTAGTGTTGTTGATCTTTTTCTGTAATGGTAACATTAAAATAATTATACGACTATATTATAAGGCACAGATAAATACTAGTGCAAAAAAAAATTCTGACATTGGCGATAATAAAAAATATCAATAATCTTTGTTAATAATCTTATTACATCATTAATGATCTTATCACATCGTTATTTTAACCTATTATAATTAAATTACATCAGATCTTTTCTGCAATGGTAACATTGACATAATAGTACGCAAAAAAAATTATAATCCTGACAATGGCGATAATAAAAATATCAATAATCTTTGTTAATAAGAATCTTATTGTGCTATCACATCGTTATTTTAACCATTATAATTAAATTACATTAATGAAAGTAGTTATGGTAGTAAAATCTGCTTCAGCAGCATCAACATCACTCGTTGGTATTGAAGTCGTTAATAATAACCTGGTAGACATTCAGTATCTTGACGATTAGTACACCCATATTCATTATACATAATTCGGAATTTAATCAATAAGTCATTTAGAATTGATGGCTAACCGATGACATGCATCTTGAATTTCATCTTTAATTCATTGATGTCACTGCCTATCATTTCAATATTTAAAAATATTCACCGATGTTCGGGTCCGTCGATGAAAGGTGGTTTCGTACTTCCTCTCAATACTATAATGGTTAACCTCAAGCATGTATATACATAAATGAGGCCTATGCCGTTGGTAAAATCATGGAGCATTAATATTAATCCATGGTAAAATATTGTAACCGTTGTCAGAATTATGCCATTTTTAAAGTGGCCCTCTCCTTCATGAACAGATGTAATGCTGGAGCCCTGAATTGTAATCTTACCCTTGCTGAATTAAAATATTCTGACTTTCGCGTCCCGTGATTGGTTGTGATACTGTACGCAGACATATTCAATTTGTACCGTACAGTACGCGTACGCTGATGGATGGTGGTGGTTACAATCTAATTGTAGACTGAATGTGACTATTACATCAGCTCTAGAAAAACTCTTATTAATGATAGACCACCTCTGAAGACCACCTCTATACTGTTGATAATTAAAGATGATGATAACTGTATTAGGCCTAGTATTATTATTATTATTATTATTATTATTATTATTATTATTATTATTATTTGCGTATTACGCAATATCTTGTTAAAAAATGTGTCCTAATGGGAAACCGAAGGATGTTTACTCCTTGGTCTGTTAGATTAGTGGGAGTATCTAAACGGTATGAGGAATACGTTATTCGTAATAATGTAATTACCTTCTCAAATTCTTATATATTATTTCAAAGTGTGCGCTGTTTAAATTCAGTCTTCACAAATAAATCGATATTTCCAATCTGTACAGTAATAACATGTGTGTTTTATTTTAAAACTATATGTATGTGATGTTGTGTTTAACTATCATGTCCACTGCCACTGATAATTGACAGATAATGATGCTTGTTCAAGAAATGTAGGATTAACTTTGGCACTCGAGATTTCTTCTTGTTTCTAACCAGGATGTCGGTAATTGTTTATTCGCCTTGAAAATATCAGTTGATATAAATTGATAGGTAATTAGCTTGTTAATCAATCATTGTCAATATGACGTCATGATAAAAAAAAGTAGGCACCATACAAATTTAGAGCAATGTTGAGGTATTGTAAAATATGTATGTACGCACACGAGATAAGTAATTTCAATTGCTAAGATCCGTGTTCTTTGATTTAATAGTGCCTTGGGAGTGTCACCTTCTATTTTTTTTCCCTCATTCTGTTTGATGATTAAATAAATGAAATACATGTAAATACCTTGAATTAATATAATTAAAATGTGTTCGGTGACAATAAATTCAATATTTCGCATTTTAAATGCGTATACAAAAGCAAAACAAATACAGACAAAGATAATACATTTTTGAAGTAGGCCTACAGATATACAAATATCTTGGTTTTCATGAAAGATGATTCGTGGCCGTTTGATCATCTGCAGCACTAAACATCAGATCTCGGCGGTTGTGGTACCTTCAGGTCCTTCGCCACCATCGGTATGAACTGAATTCGATGTCTTTCTCAACCTTTCTTTCTCAAGATACTAAAATTCTATGCAATGATTATGCAGGGTTTGATGAAGAAGTTAAGTGGTTCAATTTAAGAATGGTGTAAAACTCGGGGTAGATGCCATGATCGGTTAAATCTTCTTGATCGTAGCGGATTGGATTATAAGGAAGGCTATGTAGGCCTATCGGGGGAACAGTACTATAAGAACCAGGTAGAAATTCATAAAGAAATTAAAAGATCTTAATATTCAAAGAAACAACATGCTAGATAAATTCTAATATGAAATGTTTATTATCGACTGATCACAAAATTAGTAAAAGGAGGACGTGTAAGACAGGTGGGTGACAATACGGAGCTTTCGATTGCACAACGACGGTAGGACGTAGAACGTAATTACGTCACTAAAAGTCATCTGTGAATTCGATAACGATAGTTGCAACACATGTTATTCAAATGTTTAAGAGGAATTGTAATATAGTTAGATGACTCTATATGATGTACGATGACAAACGTTTTACAATTGGTATGGGATAAGTGACGAAGTGAAATGGAGAAGTAGGAAGTGGATCGGTTACTTGTTCTAAGAGTATATGATATCTGCCACTGTGCAATCGTCACTACAGTTACTAACAAACGACAGAAACAAAGTAGGACGCCCTAAAGCAAATTGGATGAGATGGAGAAATGCAGAAAGAAAAGGAGAAAGATTACCGGAAAGAGATTCTGGAACGGAGCTAAATCAATTGTTAGATACATGGCGCAGTAGAGAGGTGTTTTTTGTGTAGCATTTTTCTGCCACCGGGCCTAAATGGATTAAATAGGTACCAGTATTTAGACCCTTATTTAATGTATTCAAACTTTGATACAGGTTTCTATTACAATGAATTATGAGCATACTGTAGTCGATTTTCTAACAGTAAAACAAGGTTACGATGAGGACAGGGGTAGACGGGTAAGTATAATATACTATACCTACATTTTTTAATCAACTGTAGAACTTAGAATAGTTAGGAAAGATAAACGACTTGAATGTCTTATCGTAATAGATGAAGAAGACAGCCATACGTGACGAACTTCCTATTTTTTTTGTGTATTTGCCGTTGTACATTTTGTTATATTCTTGAAAATTGTTTTGTTTGGCAACCTGTTTTGGACCTAATAGGAAACAAAATTATTAGTTCAATTAAGAGATATCCAAGTTCCGGTTTTTGCAAACTAATTTTGTCTTTTTGCTGCACGTGTTTTGTTTGTCTTTGCATTAGAAGTCAAATAAACTTTAATTCAATTCTACTAGGCCCACTTGAATAAATTATATTCGGCCATACGTTTAAATAGGAATAGAACAAATAAAATATCAATTTATTTTGTCGGTTTATTATTAACATTGCCTAACTAAATGATGACCCCATAGCTCAGTTGCTAGAGCAGAAATGAGGGATGGGTTGGACATCTAATTTTCTCAAATAATATATTTATATCGCAAATAATTATGAATACGCATTATGATATATTCCCGATCAGACATGACCTAAGGAATGAACATGATTTATTATTGACCCTAATTCACAAAATATTAATCTACAACTAACTATGCTGATTACATTCTCGTAAGTACTGTATCTATCTTTATCATAGATTGATTTTGGTATAATTCAGGAGTATGCATATGTAACAGCACACTGTCTTTCATAGCTTGATAATTGAGAATGTTGATTAAACTCTTTTTCGGCAAAGTGGCACTTCAAAATGGAGCCTAATGGATCACTGGCATGCACAGTTCCTTCAGCAGACACGCAGTCATTGCGTCCGACAGTTGTCGGTCGACGCGATTTTATGGAGAACGCAATGCCACGACGCGTGCACAACGGATCATTTTTTTTTATTACGATAATGACGATCCGTTCAGCCACCGACAATCAGCAGACGGCGTCGCGTCGTCATGCGTTCAAAGGGAGCGGAGTTGGATTCATCGACCTACTGACTTCGAACGACGCAGTGAGTGCTCGGCTTATCTCTTACAAAATCGCCCATGCATTCAATCACCTTTCAACAGTTGCGTAACGCCTATGCGCTACCCATATGGTCCTCGATCTGGCACCCTGACTCAAAAGAGCTTTCAAACCGGTTGATACATAACAGCATAATGTGTCTCTAACATCGACTGTAGAACATCATACTATATTTAGTGACGGATTAAAGGGGGCGAAGGCAGCAATTATTTTTATTTTTTTGTTGTTGTAAAAATGGAGGCTTTAAGTTTTAAGTCTTTGAGTGCCGTCGTCCTAATCAAATCCACCGGTGTTGTCATCGTCATTATCCTCAATTTTATTAACGTCATTTTCATCGTCTTCTTTATTATTATTATCAAGTATTATCATTTACGAAACAAATTCGGAAGATAATTTAGATACAGATGGTCTTTTTATTTAAATGATTTATTAAAATATTTTAGTTTACATTATCATAAATTTCACTTTGGGCAGAAACAACCGCGGAACATTGAGCACGTTTGTAAAGCATTATTATTACGTTACTGTCCATTTGAAGGGTAATAGGCCTATTCTTACATACATCTTAACAAATCTAATGGACTAGGCCTATTAAAATAAAAGTGTACCATAATGTCATTTTTATCATAAAGATAATCATTTTCTTTCTAGTAAACAATAGTCAAGGTCATTGAATCTTTCAATTCAAGCTGAAAACTTTTTTGGCATTCCAACATTTTCAAGATATTGCCGAGCAATATTTCAACTATAAGATCCAACCCGTATATATATATCAGTCGAAGTGTCAAAATTATAAATGAGGTTATGCACTGTATATCCGCAATCACATTATTTACCGTACGCCCGTGGAAGTGATTTTATCTTGACTTCGGTCCTAATTAATAAATGACGTCATAATTGAAACGGCGAAAATAACAAATTATAAGGAATACGTCGTGTAAGCCGCAATGTTCACATTCGTTGGTTTTCTTCTGACGTGTACTAATAGGCCTATCTCTTTCGCAGAAATTCAATACATCTTGCACAGTATTTTTGCAATTTCTTATCTTTCTTGTGTATCAATATGTCTGCGCTCCAACTTGTTTTACATAATTGCTTCTCACATGTAGCATGGGTGATTTTTTAGCCTGAACTTTAAATATGCTGCATTGTAGCATGCTAAAGTTATTAAGCTATATATATTGCATCTCATGGTAGTGCAGTATTCACATTCAATATCCATTCGGTAAGTAGGTAACGTAATACATTTAATAAGAACACTGAAGCTGAAATTGCTTAAAACAAAATTATAAGAACAAATTGAGGCTGAGGTAAAATGTCAAATGAGGTTTTTACTTTTTTTAAAAACAGAAAATCCAACATATCTTATCTTTATCTTATTTGCAATAGGTGTCACATGTAATACCCTCTATAATGCAAAAGGTAAAGGTAGATGTAAAGGTAGAGGTAAAGGTAGGAGAATAACCCATAACTTATAGGCGTGGTCCGTGACTACCTAGCAGCAGTAAATAGGCGCTTCATGGTAGATAAGTGTTCACATCATTCCACAACGACAGGGGCTGAAATGAACCATAACATCGGGGTAACCCCCTACTCTTCCGAAAGATGCAATGGATTCTTTAAAGCGCACAGGAGCCAGATGTATACACTGGACCTCCATTTTAAGTCCTTATCCGAAAAGACGTGGTTGTACCAAACCAACTATGGGCGAGGAGCGGCTGGAACCAGCGCCGATAAGGCTGTATCTAGCGGTGCCCCTGCCTTACCGCTTGGCCACTCGACTCGCCCTGCTGAATATGAATAGGGCCTGAGTGAGTGGTTTGTAAATATACGTCTTATAGTCTACAAATCATCAGTTTACACATTTTCAAAGTGATTAATGCCTGGCGGAAAGAAGTTCGAAATATGTACCGCACCACCGATTCTCTGAATGTAAACATAGATGCTCAAACGAGCATGCTTTCAACACCTTGCCAGCATGAGTTATAATGATCTGGAATCGTCATGGAATGTAATTTTTAAGTCAAGTCACACTGTTTACATAGGCCTAATTATGAATCAACTTGAAAGGAGGGCATCGGTCGAATAACTCCTCTGTCTTCGGGAAATATAGGCGACATGTCAAACAGTTATCGGTATGGTATGTTTCTTCAGGTTGGAGAACTTCAAACACAAAATGTAATGAATTCGGAATGAGTATATAGCTCACCAACAATTCGTGATGAAGATTGATCGCCAATCTTACAGATTCCCTGAGGTAGAGCTGCACTATTTCTTTACGAAATGGAATTAA